AGGCCCTGTAGGAGTCAAGAGGTAAAACAAACACACAGTGGATGTGAGCTGCTTTGATACTGAGGCAGCAGCAGATTTACAGTGATGAACTCCCCTCTTCCATCTGCCTAACCTACATATTACTGGTAAATGCAGCAGCTTATTCTAATTGCAGGGTCTGTTTTCAACCAACAGAGGTGAAATCCACTTTGTAAGTGCCCCCACCCCCCACCCCCCACCACCACACACAGACACACACTTCTATTGTGGTTCAATTCAAAAGCACATGTAAGCAATTAGACCTCGATGAAGAGAGATTGGCTTCACAATCACATGGAAAACTCTCCATATGTAAAAGTTCAACCATTGGACTGACATCTATAAACGGCAATGGTGGAAAAAGTAATTACATTTACAGAAGGACAGTGGTGTAGTTTGTAGTTTTTTTAGTTTAGTCGTAGTATTTCTAGTCGTTACTTCTTAGGTTTGTTTGGAAAAAACATGAAACAAATTTGTTTCACTAAACATTAACCGAGTTAGAAAGAAATTGAAAACAAAGCTATATGATGTTACTATTGCCTAAAAAATGACTAGACTGCTATAATGTGTTGTGTTATCTCTTCGGTCATTTTCAAACTTAATCTTACATCTTTATAATCACAGGGGCATGTTTTGGTTAAAAATGCCATTTGTACATTTTGTGGCTTTCTGCCAGAAGCTTATTTTTTATCCAGCGTTTGTGATACACTTTTCAAGTCTTATATTTCATCAGGATGGAGGATTTTAGTCATCGGGTCAAAAGTTATCAGAGAAACGAGCCGAGCAAACGTCAGCAGGAACTCAGCTCCCAGCCACTTGCTGTAATGACTGTGCAATGAATAGAGGCGTGGACAACAACTCCCATGATCACACACTGTTCCCTGACATCGCTTGACCTTACTTTTGTTCAGAGGAGTGTGTTAAATTATCTTTCCTGAGGTTTGTATAAAAATCCTTCAACATAACTCACACACTGCCAGGAAGATGATAACGGTTTAGATTATTTGTGTGACAATGTGATTTTAATGAATTTGTGCAGGTTGTGTTTTTGCTCAGGAAGATATATGTGTTGTTGTTAGACATCTGACTGCCACTGTAGAAACCTGTCTGCACTGTAGAAATCTGTTGTTAACCAGAAAAGGTTTGCACACTGCTTCTTTATGCTATATATGCTATATAATATGTGGACCATTTTCTTGCAGTCAAGTACGGTATATGCACATTGTGGTACTGGTACCAGAACAATGAGCTGCTCTCCAACCAGTTGCAAAACAAGTGAGACATAACTCATTTGTATCCAATATATCAACTCACAGTCACGATGCTGTAGTGGTTTGGGAAGGTCTTTGTGGGATAAACAGGCCTCATGTACGGTGTCGTCGTTCCTTCATTTCCTGCAACACAGTATCACTTCAGTCAGACTGGGACGCCGTGTACACCAGTAAAGAGTGGACGTGGAGTCAACTTACGTAACCTGTTGATGTAAGGAATGTGGCTGCTGTGATCTTTCAGATACGCGGCTCTGAAGCCATCCAGGGACACCAAGATGAGCGGGGGCTTGGAGAAACTGGGGAGGAGGGGAAGAGACAGAACAAGTGAGGCGTGGTGTGAGCGAGAGGAGGATTTAGGAGGTGGCACCGGCAGCCTGGTGCTCATTTCATACAGTGCGAGAACATAAAGCAGCTCTTTGTGTCGAGCCTGAAGCAGAAGAAACGAAATCAGAAAACAGAGACCACACAGAGGGCGAGAAGAGGAAGAGAAATGTGACTCTGCTCATGATGAATCACCGACTTGGACAGTTTTGACATTATCAGCACATTTCTTTGTTATCAGAAACAGAAACACGCTGCTCTCAGAGGGGGCAGAAGATACATCAAATTTGTTCCATCACTGATCTCCTCATGCAAGAGTGACAGGCTGTTGCAACGCTACCTGTCATTACTAAGATCAGTTATCAGACCTATTGACCAATTTGAATAGTTATAGGGATCAAATCAGATATCTCCTCATCTAAACAACGTATTGTAGCTGGTCTCCACTGACACTTGTATAACCACTTCTTCTTTAATACTGACGCACTGGGAAAAAGTCATTCCTGACGAAACTCAGGATTCGTAACAACAACACCACAGTAGCTAAATCACATTTTGTTCAACGACAACATTTAAACTAATATCTAAATGTTGTGGCCATTTCACAGCTGTAAACAGTATTAACAGCTGTTCTGTCTGATGTGACGACAAACAGGTGCCTATTTACACTTTCATCAACACAGTGACATTGACATTTACTGCATGGGGGTCATGCTTTGGGCTGATAGTCACTTTCTATCTTTTTATCTTAGCTTTAATGATCTTGCAGCAGAAGACAACAAAGGTCACATAGAGTATTTCAGGATTTAATATATGTATATTGGTACAATTTAAAATGTATTAATCCATAAATTAATAGGCCAAATTAAAAGTCTGTTTTGAAACAGGTTGATGAAAACCTATTAAATAATAAATGTACTAATCAATTTGGAAATGCAGTTAAATAACTGAATTAAATTGCATTAACAGTAAAGGTTTAATCAGGAAATTGCAAAGGCAATTCAATTTTCCACTTGTTTTACTTTTACTGGCTTTCTCTTTTGTGTTTTCAATTACAATTTATGTGACTGGTTCTTGCAGAATAATCTGTATATTTAGGGAATTAACATGTAAAAAACATTTACAATCGGCATTTTCCAGAAGAGTTGCTCTTTTGCACGTCGAGACCAAACCACAATTTAAAATAAAAGTGTGGTTTACCAGCAGGAACAATATAAACCAAAGTCCAGAGAATGACTGACTTTGATATATCAAAATACAGACAACATTCATTTGTCTAAATATATTTTCAAACCAAAAGCAGCTTCATTTGGAGCCACAGGTTTTCTTTTCCATAGTCTAAACGAGTGTGTCTGGGGTTACTCCCTTACCAAAGCAGAAACACACACACACACAGACATGTATGTGACCAAACACACACAACACTCAGCACCATGTGCCTGATTACTCAGAGTTATTAGCACATTTTCCACAGAGACACTTACTTCAGTTCCACAAGACCGACAGCATCGTAAAAAAACAAAAAACAAAAAACCAAGACTCATGTGTTTGGGTTGTTTTAGCACTTCTAAAAAAAAAATCTAAGTAAACTAAGATGAAGAGACTGAATAACTGGACTGTGACGTAAAAAAAAATCTGTTTTTCTCAGTTTAATTTCCACTAAGAGTGTCGCCCACTGGCAACAATGTCCTGTGGGCGACGCAGCTGAATGGCTTCATTCTCAGGGACTAAAACAAGCTGAATGGTATCACACATCGAGGAGGACATGAGCTGATATAATGTAAACTAGTTCAGCAGAGATTTGATGCTGTTACTTTCTTTTAAAACCCACTTTTCAGTTCATATTACAAGAGTGAAACAAGAGTGTTGCATTACCCAGGTGGACACTGTAACTCTTGACTTTCCTCAGCGGTCGGCTCTGGCCAGATGTCTTCTGCAGAGAAACAGGAGTGTTATCAGTAACAAAAAAAGGTACAAAAGATGACATGATTATCTCAGAAATGATGTAATTCTGATCTGAGCAAAAAGCATGCAACTTAAAATTAAAAATGTCAGTAAAGTAAGTAAGCAGCAAAGTAAGACATTAAAGAGTTACGACTGTGCTAAGACACATTTAAAGTGAATGGCATCCCTTGAAGCAAAATGATCCTGTTATGAATTATCACACCAATCTGCAGCTTTCCTCACATTTATAGTTAGTTTCAACCCATTGTTGCTCTCATAGTTTTCTCCATGGCAACTGTAAAAGCCCTAAATTTAACTTCTTCAGCACGAAACAGCAGACAGACGCTGCTTCATCACTACTTGGATCTCATTTGATGACGTCACCTTTTGTCCAAACAGCTAAAAAAAACATAACATTGAGGAACTGAAATAGAAATGCTTAAATCACTCAAGACTGTTTGACCATTAAATTCATATGGAAAGGTTTCCACGGCCTTGACGTCCACATTAAAAGGAGATGTTTACGTCTGACTGGCATAAAACAGGATGTGAAAGTGCACATATGCAAAGTGAGGCATCATATACTCATTTCCAAGGAGGCTGAAAGCTCCTGGTGTTCCTTGTCCAACAAACACATCTCTCAACTATTAACTGTGAACCACGTGGGTATTTTCCGTAAAGGTTACATCACAGAGACAGAAAACAATCAGCCATCAAATTACTCTCCCAGATTTGGGCTGGGCAGCATGTGTTCACACAATAGAGACCATCTGGACCTTGTTCCCTTGGAAACAAAGCAGGGGGAAAAAACAGGTTTTCTTAAAGAGGTGTCATTAATTATCGTGACCACATCATCTTCACAAGCATAATGTAATACACATTTTCAAAACCTGTGTAAATCGATATCATGTCAAAATGGGTCAACACAACACTGACATGTGTTATGGTGAATAACCTCTCTGTTCTCACATCAGAGGAGCACGAAGTTCAACTGGATTGTGTTTCAGGCGACTCTGCAAAAAAACAGTCCACCACCTGCTGAAGAAACTGTCTTTAACAGCTACATTCTCCACTATGTTCACAGGCTTTACCAATTTAGGGGTTGTTTGGTTGGCCGACTTGTGACAGCCAGAATTGGCCCATATGTGGAGGTAGCATGCGACAGGCGTGGGGTGGTGTTGGGTCAGACTTAGCTCTACACGGGGCCAAAACAAACACGAATGTGGCCAGAATAATTTTGCTATCTGGGTTGGTGCTGCTCAAAGTTTACATTAGGCGCACAGGAGCTTTTTTCACCGAAAACCGCCTCCTGTTGCTGCAGGAAATGACGCTTGTGCCGAGAACAGTCCATCCATTAGCTACACTGCATAGCAACCGCTAATTAACCTAACTGGCATGTGTTTGGACTGTGGGAAGAAACTGGAATACCAGGAAATAACTCATGCAGGCACTATCCTGGGGATCAAACCCAGAACCTTCAGTCTGAGAGGCAACAGTGCTAACCACTGTACCACCATGCCAGTCTCAGCTGAGAGCTCAAAGACTAAAATTAACTGAAGTACAAAGAAACAGTGTAGAGATGACGACTAGCTTTACAGCACCCAACTGGCTTTGGACTGTGGGAGGAAGATGGAGAACATGGAGAGGCTTGGGGATCAAACCCAGAACTCAGGCTGTGAGGCAACAGTGCTAACCACTGGAAGACTAAAATTAATCACTCGCAAGTTGAAAATTAATCTTGGAGTATTTGTCAAGTACTCTAAGTGAGATTACGCAAAGTTAACATATCTAAAACAAACAGGAAATATCCTCCGTTCCTCCTGGAGATTTTGGAGCAAGCTGCATCTTGCTCAACAACTTTCCCACGGACAAGGTAACTGCAACCAGGAAGCTCAGGGCCTCCTCTTTCACATTTCAGTCTGCTGCATCCAAACACATCTGTCAAGTCTGCTGCTGCTGCTGCTGACTGGACTCATGACAGAGGGAGTCTTAGCATCTCGGTGAGAAAGCCCCTCCTCGCGGCCTCTCGAGGCCAGCAGTTGCGGTTTGGACCAAACACGGGGATGCTCCGTCTCAGGAGACAAGTTGCTGTGGTCTGTAATCCACGGGAAAACCCGCTCTCAGCGTTTTACTCTACACGCTGTCAACCTCTGGAAGAAGTCGAGCCCTTGGGTTATTTTTGTGTCTTTTAATCTGTTTCCAGCAAACCTCACCAACAAGGCTGCATTATGAAAGAAGTGGAAGTTCCGCCAGCACTGCAAAGATGTGAGTAACGCCAAGCCTGCCTGAGCTGAAAAACTCAAAATTTATTCTTCCCATATGGCTTTTATGTTTGCTGGGGAGGGAGTGTAAGTTAAAGGGGAAATGCCACAGCAGAGGGAGAGAGAGAGAGAGCACCCCACCCAGGCCGGGGGACAGCCGCCCACACATGGAAAGAGGGGTGTTTTGGCATGGCGGTTTGCAATAAAGCACACAGTGATGCCGCTGCCCACGTCCAACCAGAAGGAATCTATAGCTGCAGAAAAAATGCCAGCCTCGGGTGAACATTCCTGACCAACTCAAATATGTGTTTATGACATGTTTTGCAAAAAAACTAAAAGACGTACTGCACCAGAGAAACATACCTCCCGAGCAAGTCTCAGATCTTAACATACACGTCTGTCTCACTTTCACCCTCACCTCTTTCTCTAGAAGCTGGTTGGTAACTTGAGCCTCTAAACACCCCCACTTTAAAGCTTTTATGAGGAAGCAGCAGTGGGACGGCAGCAGCAGTGCTCTCTACATTAGCCAGGCTACACGTGGACTTCCTGGGAGCCCAAACAGCAGGTTTGTGCTGTAGCAGCACAGTACAGTAGCAGTTTTGCAAGGACTGCTTGTTCACCAGCAGCCTCTCCTGAATAAGTTTGCTCTCCAGTGTAATCTGAGATGATTATTTCTGGCTGGCCCTCCCTGCTGCCGCCAGTGTATCTCGATTCTCTGTCAACAGGACATTCAGGAGGGAAAACCAAGCCTCACAACAACAAAGTCAGAAAGCAGTGACATGGGTTGAAGCTGCAGTTTGTGTGTTTTTAGGTGATCATCTTGAAAGTTAGTTCAGTGACATTAGTTTTTTCCTCCTCTGGAAAAATAAGAAAACAGATGCACAGTTTGTGTTGAAGCCATTAATTCCTGTGTTAAGGTTTGCAACGGCACAGTGTATTAATGATTGATTCAGCATGTTGACAAGGACGCTGACACTGAGAGGGAATGTTTACCTCATCTGGATCTTTAATCAGTAACTTTAATAACAGCGTAGCGTTGGCAGCAAACACGGACACAAAGATGCAGATAATGTGACAAAGGCCTTCAGCCACAGGCCTGTATGGCTCATACTGTAGAGTCTGATTCAACACTGAGGCATTTTAATTATATGGCATTCTTTATAAATATCTAATTTCTTTTATATAGAACAACCTATTTCAAATGAGTCCCAGCTGTAAAAGCCCTGCTCCTCATACATACAAGTAGAGAAAGTGGTGATTAATATGTACAAGGCATAAAACAAGCTGAAACACACTGTAGATGTAAAACTAACAGAGTGATGTTGAACTGCGTTTAGGTTGATTAACAGTGATGCCCACCTGCCTCAGCCGGTCCCTCGTACATCTGAGACAACACCACAGCCAAGATGATCACCAGTAGGCACAGCAGGGCACCCTAAACAGAGACCAGATGTCAGGGAACACATATATACATATACTTTAAAGTTACTAAGGATAAATCACATTCAACAAACACAAGGTGAGTAGAAGGTAAAAGCAACAAGAGGTAAGACACTGCTCAAGCCACTGTGACTAAAAATGATGATCGACCTCTGACCTACAGCTGTGTCTTTGACTTTAATGTAAGTGAAGAGCAAATAGAGAAGAAACAAAGTTCAACATGTTGATACTGTGGTGAAAATGTCTGTTGATTTAAAGCTTAAACCTCTGGCACACCTGACATATTTGAGTGTCAGCTATAGCATACCTTTGTAACGATAATAGAAACATTGATAATAGAAATCTGCAACAGACTTCTGGCTCCTTGAGCAAAGCCATGAGCCAGGAAAGTCTGCAGAACAATGACACTTCCCTGGAACAATAGGCACAAACAGATCGTGAGCTGTGACTACATTTCACCAAGACTGTTTCTCATCCGTGTTTACAACAGTGGCTCCAGGGATGGTAATGCATGATGATGTGCTGGTCAGACCGTTGTAATGGACCACTCTTTTTAACCAAGTGTCATGACAACTATTGGGTGGAGTGCCATCAAAATTTGGTACAGATACCTACAGTGCCCTATGTTTTTCTCTAACGAGAGAAGCAGGTGAAGGTTTTCAATATTCACTGGACAGACTGACTCAAAATGCAGCAGACAAATTCATGCTCCCTTCTGTGATCCCTGACTTCTCATCAACTGCCATCACAAGATGATGAGAAACGTCTCATCGCCTATAAACTGGATTGATGTGAAACATCAATGTTATCGTTGAATGATGAATTGCAATATCTCCATCAGGTCAAACTCTTTGGTTTATGACTCAGCACCATTTATCTCTGTGCCCTGCTGTGCTCAGCTAAAGCCTCACTGAGCCAAGTCTTGTCATTCTGTTTATTCATCCAGTCTTTGATCTATGCAGTCGTTCTTATTGCTTTTGGTGAGACTTTAATTTTACTGAAGACAAGATCAAGGTCCTGCAGTGCAGAGCAATGGGGGCCTGATATTTATTCTTTAAACCTGACTCTAATCATTTCCACATTCACTCATATACCATCACCAACTGTCCAAATGTTGATCTAGTCTGACAGTAACTGAAAAGCTAAGCAAGGATGGAGGCCTACTTTCCTGGGTGTTTTCAAGGAAATCTGAGCAGGGCTGGGTGACCTGGCACAAAAGTGTGTTATCAGTGGATACTGAAGATTATCACCATGAACTTCAAATCATTACGTCTTTCGAGTTGAAATGCTGGATTACTGTGGTTTTAAGCTTCATTTAAACACTGTCCAAACAGCAAAGACATCTGAGGTACAGCAGTCACAACAATTAAAATGATAAAATCTAATTTAAGTCGTCTAAATTGCTAACTTCAGCCAACTTCCTGCACCGACATTGGCTGTTTGTGAGGCTGGAAATGAATTGTGTTGGACGTTTATTGACTATATAACAAGGGAAACTATGTTGTCATTTCATTTGTTTGTTGTTTTATATTGTCCAGACCTATATCAGAGTTATTTATTGATGGGCCTCTTCTGCACCCACACCAGGCCTGCAGTGGTTACCATGGCTGTTTGAGTTTCAGAGGCGAGCGGAAACCTTGATTTAAAGTGTGTTGCCTGTTTTAAATGTCCTGTAATTCTCAGATACTCAGTGGGATTTTAGACTAGTTGGCTGATGACACCTCAGCCTGTCAACACGCATATGGAACAGACTCGATTTATCCATATTGTGATGCTTCATCTGGTGACCACTTGTCACCAGACTCACCACATGACACAAACATGCATCGCAGAGGGCAATAATTTAAGAGCGAGTCTCTAAAAACAAACAGTGACTTACTCTAAATTGTTTTCCTCTCTGTTGTAGCTTCCTGCCACAGGAACAATCCCGTTTCCTTACAAAGATCATAAGATTTTAATCTTATCGCAATGGTAGCAAGTCACAGGAACCATTGAAGCCTTTTTTCTCAATGAAGAACAGCCTCCTCAGCTCTGACCTCAAAATGAAGACTTCAAAATCAATAATAAACATAAATCCAAACAGAAACTCTTTTGCATGAGGGCTGTTTAAACCATAGCGAATGTAATGCTTTGACTTGTCACTACATTGGATATTGATGTTGTAGTCAATCACCTTCTAATTATTCCCTAGCAGAGAGCTGCAGTATGGTGTGTCGTTAAGTCTCAGCCACACAGGGTAATGTGGGAATCATCCGCCACGAGTAATCCATTTAGTGTGATTCACATACACAAGACTTGGCATTCCTAGACAGGTATGAAAATATGCTGCTACTTCTGTGTGTGTGTGTGTGGTGTCACAGCATGTTCACTTATTTTCTCCAGCTATAGGTGAAGTGAGAGAGGGAGAGACCTGGCTGCTTGGGAAAGCGTTGTGGGATGTGAAAGTAAACAGTCTGTCTGGTGGAAAACCTACACGTCTGACTCTGAAAACACACTCTATTACTATTGTCTACACACAGTAAAGATTTGATCAGACTGCTGGGACTCACACTGGGCATAAAAACGTCTCCTCACACGAGACTGCTGATCTGAACACTTTATGAGTAAAGCTCAAGTTAGAGTAAAAAAAAAACCTATCTCTGTTTTCTGTCTTTTGTAACACAGCAGTATAAATTACAAGCACCAGGATTACAACTACAAGCAGAAATGCGTGGTGGCTGATCTGGGACAGGATGGAGCAGACGATCGTCTAGACTCTGCCACATGTGCATCTAATCAGTGCCAAAGCAGACAGTCGCTGAAAACGCTGGTTACTGTG